CTTTCTTTCTTTCTTTCTTTCTTTCTTTTAATTTTCTTTTATCCTGAACCTTTCTAATCTAATTGTAAAACTCTTAGGTATAATTGCGGGTAATGTAGGGAAACTGCCTCATGTGATAAAGTACCACACAGCAACACCTCAGAGGCTGCAGGGTTGGTCCCTTTCAAACGATGATGCTGCTGCTGCTTCAAACAAGGTAACAAACTTCCTGTCTTACCTTATAAGTCAACTTCAATAAGTCAATCCTGCACTGAACACATCTCATTTCATTTTTGGTCTTTATAAAGAAATACCCAGATGTAGTTCAGTACTCAGTGAACATCACTGGAAAAAACCACACTCTGCACCTGGAGAAGAACAAGTGAGAACACTTGAATTCTAACTTAGCCCATTCTTATTCTGTGTACTGTTTCTTAAATTTATTACCATCTTTTCAGAGATCTTGTTGGGAAAAACTATACTGTGACCTACTATTCTGATCAGGGTACCCAAGTTTCAACTCCCTCCGATCAAGAGGTATGCACCTTTTCGCTTTCTTTTTGTATTTTATTGGTAAACATGAATGGAGCAGTTTAATTATCTTGGCTTGATTAAATAAGCAACAGAAAATTATGCAACACTTTACACTAGCACACCGTTTGGTCTGGCACTAAATTCTGTCACAGCTTGTCTCTGTTAAACATTAGAGAAAGAGGTTCTGCAAGACAGATAGATCCTTATATTTTAGATTTTTACTGATCTGAGCAGCCTCATCCTTCTATCACAATCATCTGCATTATGACATTATTGCTAAATATCCGCTGACATACTAATACATTTCCCAATATCAAAGTTCCACATTCTGATTATTTTGAGCAAGAGGAAATTACATATTTGTACATTTCCTATGATATACCCATGCGATGACTTATCCACATAGAATAAAAGTTTGTAAAGCCCTTAAACTAAGTCATTCTTAGAAAAAACTTTTCCAGGTCCAGTGCTACTACCATGGACATGTTGTGGGAGTGGAGAACTCCTCCATCAGCATTGGCTTATGCTCTGGAATAAAGTAAGTGATAATTTTCCTTCATCTTATCAGTCCTTAAGAAACATGTTAATTAAGTAAAGATTTTATTGAACATGAACATTGGAGGGTTTTAATTGAGCAGTGAGTGGCATGTGATCAGATTGTCTAATTTAACAATAAGATTCGACATTTAATATGTCCTGCATTACAACAATACCTAATTTTGCATTTTTACATCTTCATTCTGAGATTTATTTATTTATTTAGATATTTATATACATTTTTTTCTCCAAATTTTCAATTGCTTCTTTAAATGTTTTATTTCTTTTAACTCTTAGTTTCTGCACTTTCACTGTACCACAAATTGTGTACTAACAACCAAATGGTGTTTTTGTACAGTTTTATGTAAGCATTGTTAAAATAAAAAAGTGTCCTTCTTGTTCCCTGACTGATCAGCAACAGGATACAGCCCCATTTCTGGGATATCATGAAAAGGACATTAAATTGAAGCAATACTGCTAGTGCTTTTTTTTTTTTTTTGTCAGCTGGTTTAGGAGACAGTACTCAGTCCAAATTATTGGAAAGTCAACATGTTAATGATAGCAGTCAGGTAGGGTTTTTTCATGACTTCTTGGATTTACCATAATCATTCTTTCCCCATATTACAGGGGGTTTATTATTCTCCAAGATCAGATATACCTCATTGAACCTTTGCCTGGCGACGAGACAGGACACAGTGATGATGATCTGCATGCCGTCTACAACTACAAGCACCTGAGGAGGAAGAGGAGCTCCTGTTCCCATGGAAACACAACCACTTTCTACGACCACGGAGCTCGTCCGTCTGGACTCTTCCAGCTTGGCAGCCTGGTGAGGACTGTACACGGACACATTCACAGAGAGTGTGGATTTACACAGCTGATAATTTATGGTGCAGACAGTTTCAGATACGATGCCACTGACAATCACCCACCAAAACCTGATAAAAAACATTTAATAAAATACATACAGATCAATTATGTTGAATTTCACTAAAACAGCAGCACTATACAGGTACACATTGGATGCAGTATTTAAAATTAGACTTTCTACACAGCTGAGAAGAGTTGACTTTTTTGCTCATATGATAATAAAATCCATATTAGTTGCAAGATTATTCAATCCATAAAAAAAAATTAACTAAACATGATCCTTAAATAGTATGTGACTAACTAAATTATGTGTAAAATTTTTGCAAAATGCACAACATTCATTTGATCTTATTTGAATTTTTGAAGTTTTCGTCACTCCTTCAGATTGATTGTTAACTTTCACAATGTTTTAGGGAAAACATTTTTTTTTCTTACTTTGCATCCAGGGTCTGAAAAGAAAAAAACCCAACACACAAATAAGAACGGGAAATATTTGAAGAAAAGAAATCATGATCCTTACTGCTTTTGTTTTATTAATTTTTTCCATGGTTTATTCCCCTTTTAGAAAAGTAGAGCACTGAGCAAAGAGCATAAAAACAAACCCAGGACTGTGGAGCTGGCAGTAGTGGTGGATAAAACAGAGGTTAGATTCCACCTTTTTTCTTTCTTTCACGAAATATTTTTTGGGGAAAATATATTGGTTGCAATATGTGTTTAAATTCTTTTTCCAGTACAAGAAGTTTGGTAGCGAGAGGGCTGTAGAGGCCAGAGTGCTTGAAGTAGCAAACCACGTGGACAAGGTATGTTTGTTTCAATGGAGCTTTAAACTGAGAGATTTTTGTTTTTTTTATGAAACTTTAAGTTTAGAAAAAAAATATATCCGGAAAACTGTCTTCAAATTTCATCCTTTAATAATTAAAACTTAACTAGAAGTAAAAGTTCTCTCACTAGCATTAACTGTGAGTCTTCACACATAAGCTGAAAACATTCACACGTATCACCCTCAGCTCACAATTTCTGTTACTTCTATTTTTACACAAGTCCATATCTCGTAAATCAAGCGGTGATTTCTGTGAATCACTGTCAATTCTGCATTGCGTTGCAGCTGTATCGCCCTGTGGGTGTTCGGGTCATGTTGGTCGGTCTGCATATCTGGTCGTACAAAGATGAGATCGAGGTCAGCAACAACCCGGAGGTCACACTTGGTCGATTTCTTGAGTGGCGTCGACGGCACCTGCTGCCGAGGACCAAACATGACAACGCACAATTCATCACGTAAGATACTTTTATTTGAATTCTCCACCAAAAATTGTGAATGTGTTCATGCTGTTAAATGTGATATTTAAATATTTCATTTTTGTTCAGAGGTGTGGACTTTGACGGCTCCACTGTTGGACTAGCAAACACTAATGCAATGTGCACCTCAAACTCTGGAGCTGTCAACGAGGTAATAAAAATATATGCTGAACTCCAGACATTTAAAGACATAATAAAGGAATTGAAAGAGTCTGATATTGAAAAGTCTTTGCTCCATAGGATCATAATACCAATTCAATAGGAGTGGCTTCCACAATAGCTCATGAGATGGGTCACAATTTGGGTTTGTCCCATGATACAGAGAACTGTGTCTGTGGCTCCCTCACATCAAAGACAGGCTGCATCATGGCTGAAAGTGTTGGGTAAGCCTGTGTCTAAAATACCTGCAGTGTTATGCAAATGTAATAATAATGATTATTATAAGGTAATAGTAATGATATACGTTTAATTTTTTTCCCATAAAGTTTTTATATCTTAGACTAAGTTAATAAAGTGCACGGTGGTGAATTTATTTCCAATACCTCTTATTTTTTCAATTATTAAATGCAGAAACTGTTTTTTTCTGTCTAATGATATGTATTCAATTTCTATTCCCATAGCTTAGTGTATCCCCAGCAGTTTAGCAGCTGCAGTCAACAGCAGCTCAGTAGGTTTTTGGAGGAGGTCAACCCTGCTTGTCTGCTAGATACTCCCTCCACTGATCGCATCTATGGAGGACCAGTATGTGGCAATGCATTCTTGGAGCCTGGAGAGGAATGCGACTGTGGGACTGTAGAGGTTAGGGGATACTAAAATAAAACATGCTTTTGCAAACTGCAAATAATGCTCACACTAGAAAATGATTTGTATTTTTCTTCTTCACAGGAATGCAAGAATCCCTGCTGCAACGCAACAACCTGCAAGTTAAACACAGGAGCTCAATGTGCAGAAGGAGAGTGCTGCCACAAATGCCAAGTAAGTACTACTCACTCCGCTTACTACTTGCTAGATGAGGAGTCAGACTGATGCTAATTATATAAGTGTATATCTAGACACCGGGTGACTATTCCGTCTGGCAGGTTTTGTTTGAGTGGATGTATTTGACTAGTCAGTATAACACCATCTGTGTTTCTGTCCACACTACAGCTGAAGCCGACAGGCAGCATCTGCCGACCAAAAGCCGGAGACTGTGACCTCACAGAATACTGCACGGGCTTTTCTGCAGCCTGTCCGACTGATGTGTTTATCCAAAACGGCCGACCCTGCAACCGTGGAAGAGGATACTGCTACAATGGGAAGTGTCCCTCGAGGCAAGATCACTGCAAGAGACTTTGGGGACCAGGTTATATACATCTAATTAGTTATTTGCTTTTAATGCACTTTTATTGCAATATTCCAACACTTACCATACTGTCTGTGGGTTTGTTTATGGGTCTGTTCAGAGGCTGAAGTTGCCGTAAATGCTTGTTTCTCTCAGTATGGAACATGCAGAAGGACTCTGTTTAATCAAAGATGTTCCAGTCGGTATGTAACTAAAAGCCACATTAAAGTCACTGGTTTTATGTCATCTTTCATTGAAGGGTTTCTTGTGGTTGCCTTTTGTTTCAGGGATCAATCTTGTGGAAAACTGTTCTGCTCTGGCGGATGGGAGTTCCCAGTGACATCCAGGAAGTTCGTTTACATAGTAGGAAACAGTATAAATTGCAATGAGGCAACCATGAACCCAGAGGACAACTACCCATCCAATCTGGGCATGGTGCCTACTGGTACCAAATGTGGTGATAATATGGTGAGATATGAGATTTCCTGATAAAATAAACACAATCCATGTCGTTATAGACTTTATGGCCTAATGTGTGCCTTGTCTTTATCAGGTTTGCTACAATCAAAAATGTGAAGAAATCAAAAACATTAAAGCCTATGGAACAAATGACTGCTCATCCAAATGTAACAACCATGGGGTGAGTGCCTGTTTCAATTTGTCAGCTATCACTTTATCATTCACTGTTTTTCAAGCTTTTCCTACATAACTGAATTTAAGGTAAACTCACACATCAATTTAATGCAATGTGGACCCAAACACAGTGAAAGCAAGGCCTTCAGATTTCATTCATAAAATACAGTTTTATATGGTGGAAAGGGGTATTTTTTTCTTGGTATGGTACAGTAGCTGTGCAACTTAATAAATGGGCCCCCTGCATAGGAAATCAAAGGCACGCAATGGAAAGTCTCTTTGTATTTGGTAAAGTAGGGAGTAACAAAAACTGTCATTTGAAACATTGCATTTCTGGTAGCACTCAAGTTGGATGTGGCGGTTTGTGTTGTAGCTCCGACCAGCACCGTCACACATGAGCTTCAGCTCATTCGCGAAAAAAGAAAAGATTATGTCAAAGTTTTAAACAATATGCTTTGCAATAACTGTGTTTTCTCCAAAAAATCTGCCTATGTTCAAGCTATAATTCCCTGGACACTATTTGATGGACAACAACAACTGTCTAGCTCTGCCTATAGTCATTTTTTTTTTTTTATTATTATTTTCCTTTAACGTTATCATTTGTCTCTAAAACTTCAACTTCACCTCAGCTGCTAGCTGCAGTTAAACATCTTCTTTATTTGGCAAATTAGGCTCTGATGCAGAGGAATAAAATAATTCTGGTGCAGATCATGATTGATCTGAATTTTATGCACATAAACAATACCTGATATTCCTTCTCTCTATCTGAGTCATCAATTAAACTGTGTTTTGTCCTTCTCTAGTTTTTGGTTCTTGTTTCCCTTAAATCCATGAGTTGGATGTTTTCAAATCAGCAACAAAAAATAACTCCTTCCTCCCTTCCTGTGTGTAATACCGTCATCTTTTAAAACAATGTAGTGATTAACAGTGATTCATATATATTTAATTATTTCAGTGTTGTTCTTTCTGACTCAACATTATGATGATATATGCCCTCTAAAGTCCTGTGAGAGCAGTCACCCAGCTAACAGTGGGATCTTTAATAGGTATGCAACCATGAGAGTAAATGTCACTGCGATCCAGGCTGGGCCCCCCCCTTCTGTGCTGTGCAGCAATCAGAGCTGACTCAAGGTATTGTACTTGGTAAATATTCTTGTCCACAGTGAATTTGTCTCTTTAAATGCTTGACCTTTTATAAGACTCGGATATACACGTGGATCCGCTTCCAACGTGATTTAATACTTATGGACTCCGAAACAGTTGTTGTCTGTTCTCAGGAGCGAAAACAAATAATGGTGGAATTCAATTTCCCCATTAGTCCGCACAAATTACATTACAGTTGTTGTTGTTTTTTTTTTTTCTTCAGGACAGATGAGCTGTATTGTTGCTCATACACCGTCATAACCTGTTGTGTATTTGTGTGTGTATGTAGATCCAGGCCTGGCTGTTATGATTGTGTCAGTGGTGGTCGGCTTACTTCTGCTGCTGCTTCTTCTTATTGGCAGTCTGATGTGCTTCCTCAGAAAAAGGACACCGACAAAAAGGTGAAGCAGCAGTTGTTTTCTTTATTTTATATCTTTTAGCCTCATATTTATTTATTTATTTTTTAAATTAAACTTTATCTCCTATGTGTGTTTCCTTATAGGTTTCTTCCCATGACCTCAGGACAATCAAACCCTGTGTTTCAATCAAGCACCAAGCGAGGCAGTTCTCGGATCGCAACCTCACACATCAGCCAGCCTAAATTTGTGGAGTCGTCTGTTTCCCAGTCCTGTAGACCTCTGTTCTCTTCTGTCAAACCACAGACTGGAGGTCTGAGGCCCTGCAGAGCAGCTCCAGAGGTGAGCCTGAACACCCTGGCTATAGCTATACAAAGACACTGCATATGTTTTTACTTATATTGTCTTTGATAGCTAACACAAAATATTTCCATCAGTGGTTATGGGTTAAAGCCAACATTTCTTAAAACACAATGAGAACTGAGGCCAAAGAAGAATGGTTTTGCATTATTTTCCTCTGTTTAATATTTATTTATTTATTTAAATTTTCAGCCTCCCAAGAAAGAGCCATCAATGTCTAACTTATCAAAGGTTCACCAGGTAATCTGAGTTTTCCTTATTTTCCTTTAGTCAAGCTAGATATTGGCTGAACTCCTATCTTGAAAAACACCAAAGTTTTAGCCAGCAGAGAGTTTAAGACTGTTAATATTTTCTGACATAACTGCTGCTTAGGGAACTTTATTTGAGATTCCAGAGAAAATATTTTTGTAAATGATGTAGTAGGACTGGCAAACATCGCTCAACAAATATATCTACTTACTAACCAGTTAAAAAAAAAAAGTACATTTTGTGGCTACAACAATTACTGGTTTTATTTTATTTAATAAAATGAACTAAATTATGTTATACAGGTTTTTTTGTTTTTTTATTTGTATATATGACTTAAGACTGTGACATCAGAACTGTTACATCTTAAACTTTGGTTCATTTCTTTTACAGGTTGCAAGGACTTTAATGCAGCCACCAAATATTTCAAAGCTCCCAACTTATCCTGAGGTAAAGAAACACAATAACATATTTACAAAGTGTTAATTGCCAAACCTAAATGAATGCAGTAAAGATTTGAAATGTGCTGAGCTTATGATTTTTTGCGGGTTTACAGACAAAGCCCCTCCCACCTTCTAGACCACTACCACCACTTGCGGCAAAACCAGTAAGTGATGCTGTGCGTCTTTCTATTTGCATTCAAAGACCTTTCTTTTGTTTTATTTGCTTCTTGCTTTAACTATTGATATTCTATCGCTTAGAACACAAAGCCAAAACCTCCAATGCCTCATCTGAAGCCCAAGCCCTCTCCAGTCCAGTCTTCCTTGCCACATACTCAGCTGGTACGTAATCACAAAGCAGACAGAGTGAATAAGACTTTCCAACCTCTGACATTGCAGCTGCTCGCATCCAGACATCGCTAAATGTTTTTAAAGGCATTCCCATTTCAAAAGACATCTGTGGTTTTTGGCATGGCCCTAGCATGGCAGCGTAATGAATAAGCAGCGACTCACTGCACGAGACATGAAGGTCTCTGGGATTAATAACTTGGACTGTTGCTCCATAAATTAAACAGGAGGGGAGGTTTTGATAAATAACACTGAATAGTTATCTAAACTCTGTGTGTAACTGTGTTTATTCATATTCTCTTTCTTTTAGCTTAGAGGGAGAGTTCCGCTGGTTCCCCCCAGTAGGCCAAGATGACAGTGAGAGTGATTTACACGGTGGTAAATAAAGGTTCACTGGCAGAGACTATGGAAGAGCAAAAGGAGCTTCACTGAAGACACTTATATGTTAAAAACAAAGAGTTCTGTTTTATGAAACCAAGGATGTAACAGTCTTGCTGTGGGTGACCTTTTGTACACGTCCTGCTAGTACCAGTCCTCAGCTGGTGTGCCTAAAGCATTGTCTGAAAACCCGAACTTAAGTGCTTAACGAATGACAAATGGTGCTGCTGCTGTTAAGATGATTGATTTAAATGTTAAAGGGAAATGATTTACTGCATTACTTCTGGGACTTTCCAGCTTATTATGAGGCGCCTGCACTACCAATGTCTTTGTTTACAAATATCCTGGATATGACTAGATTTCTTGCACATATTATTCTGCTTTCAAAGGCTTGGTGGAAATTTTATTCTGCATAATTGGATATGTTAGTGAATGAGAAATCAAAATTCTGCTGCACGGTCCCTAATTTTTCTCACCTTTGTTGGAAAAGAGGGACTTTATAAGATCATAAATGTGTTTGTAAAGGGAGATAATCAGGTTTGTCATGCTTCATGTAAACTCCTTTGTTAATACTTGATCTAAACTCAGAGAACTTGTTATACTGCCAAGAATGTAAACACCCTCACATGTTTGATTTTTTTTTGTTTGTTTTCTTTAATTCTGGTACTTATTATTTGTTTTATAATAATATGAAAGACAGAGACACTTTGGATGAAAAGGACAAAGAAAAACTGTTAAACTCTTCAGACAGATTTTCGCGTCAGTTTAAGCAATTTAAGTTAAATTTAGACTGCATTTCCTTTTTCCCTTTATTTAATGTCTTTTTTATAGGAATTGTCTGTTTTTTGTTTGTTTTTTGCCACAACATTGGCGGTTTTATTGGTCATTTTATGTAGCTGTTTTGTACTTGTAAGCATTTTGCAGTCTTTTATGCATTTTCTATTTATATTTTATGACAAGTGGTTAGCCTTTGACTATCCTTTCAATGCTGTTAACTGGTTGCTGTGCATTGCTTTAAATTTCTTTGTCCACTTTTATGTTGATCTACCTTTCTTTGTTGTTTTTGTTTTTTTTTTCATCACATCTTAGCATTTGTTTTTTTCATGTGGGTTTATATATCACACCATCCATCATTGGCAGAGACCTAGTAGCTCCACCAGCTGCTGTGTAATGTGCTGTCCAGCACTATCATAGGCACTTTTATATGTTTGTGTGTGTCTGTAGCCGATTTTCTCCCAATCTGTAGTGACTTGTGTATATGACATCATGATTGTAATTCTTAAATAGATTTTTCCAATTATCTGCAGTTAGAATACACATGAAAATATTGTGCCTTCGTTTGTATTTCATTCTGTCTTGCAGTAAATCAGCAAAACTAATTTTTCCTGTCTTTTTAATCGTAAGTTTCGATTTGAAAAAAAATCGGTTGCCTAGCAACGCCCCAAACAAAACATTTTAGCGGAGCTAACGAGCTAATTGTGCTATTCTCAGAGGTAAATATTGTGTTCACAATGGATCATTCTCTAAGTGATGAGGAACAGCGGCAGTTGCTTGCATGGGTAGATAATATACCCTTTTCCAGGCCCAAAAGAAACATCATCAGGGACTTCAGTGATGGAGGTAGAGTTTGTCTCGTGTCTGTTTATGCTAGCCGGTTGTTTACCAAGTTAACCGATGTCAGTTTTTGATTGTTATATTTGCGGACTTTTCCATGCAGTGATGATTGCGGAGATAATTCAGCATTTTTTCCCAAAGTTTGTTGACCTCCACAACTATAGCAGTTGCTGCAAAATTCAGCAGAAACTTAGCAACTGGAGCCTTCTAAACAAGTGAGACATTTCTATTATTTCTATTCTAATATTATTATTTTCTTCTTTTTTTTTTTTTGGTATTCTCTTATCATGCCTTTGGTAAACATCTGCCTAACACAAAACAAACAAATAATCATAATAATAAACAAGTACTCTTCATTGGGAAAAATTACCATAATTTTTAATACCTTTGTTTTGTTTTTGCCCTTAGGATTTATGTTAATGATCTCAAACAGCAGGACAAAATGGTTTAGTTTAATCTTTTACTTGGCCATGATTTGGGGATCAAAATGGTATTAAAAGCCTTAACAATAACAGTTTTGAAAGTTGTTATTAAACATTTACAGGGCTGTGGAAGGGAAAACAGCCCACAGCATAATTCTGCCACCACTCTTAGACTTAGACACTTAGACTTAGTGTCTAAGTAGTAATTCTAATTAATTCTGCCACCACTCTTTCTTTTGTGCCATTGAACGACATCGGTAATGTCATTGCTGAAAAGCTGAATCTTTCCATATATATATATATATATATATATATATATATAGGGAGAATGGCGGCCAAGTTGTTAGGGCATAGAGCTTGGAATCATGAGGTTCTGAGTTCCAGCCCCACTCCCACAGACTGCCACTCTGGGTCTCTGAGCTAGACCCTTAACCCCACACTGCTCCCTGGGTGCCCCATAATAGCAGCCCACTGCTCCCCAAGGGGGTGGGTTAAATGCAGAGCTAAATTTCTCCAATATAAGATCAATAAAGTTAAGTTATTTTGATAAACAACGCAGCAAAAGAGACAGAAAATGCTTTAACCTGATATGCCTCCCAAATGAACATTTTTACATATATGGTGTTTAATGGTGGTAAGGATACCTGATGAACTCAAGATAATTTTTTACACCCCTTATTTACATGCTAACGGTGCATAGTGGCAACCAGGAACTAATTTTGGCTCGTCGTTAGGCCTGGGAGCAAGGGCTAAAACAAATATGGTCTCTGTGGGATGTCAAAAATATGCCTCATCCACACAAGACGCAATTGATTATCAATGAAACTGTCCCATGCCATTCTGCCCAATTAAAATATGATGTTAAAAAAAAAAAAAAAACTTTTATTATATTATCTCATAAGAGCTGTTAAAAGAGAAAAGAGTGTAGTTGTGACTTGTGCAAAAAAGGACTTATTCACCATTGAAAACATTAAAAAGTGAAAAATTGTATTTTAATTCTTACAAAGCACAGAGTATAACACAGAAAGATTTGTTGCTAGGATCACTAGACTAGTTTTTGATGTTCTACAAACAATAAGCCAAACCTTTCGCTGGACCTTTTCATCAAGTCATGAGAAAACAGACATACACCCACTCACCCACTTCCTCACTGGAATGGCACACAGCCAGCTACAGATTTATGAGCCCCCACTCTAAACATAGCCATCCCTGCAGGCCCATTAGTTAATTACATGCCATTTGCTTTCGACTCCTTCTTTCTATCAGAAACATATGTTTTTCTGTATGGTCAGGAGGGTGTTTCCCAAGTTGGACATTTATGTACCAGAGGAGACGGTAAAGAAGATTGTTGTAAGCACCCCTGGAGTTATAATTCCTGTGCTGAACATCCTCAAGAAGAAGATAGAGGAGAAAAGGGAGCAAACAACCAACAACTCACCAGTTAGTACATCCACATATGACTGGATTTCTTTTCTTTTTTTTATTTTTATAAAGCCTTCATGTCAATATAACTAAAAATCACTGTAGTTGGCTTGCTTTAACATTTCCTCACTTTTATACAGCAATACTTTTACACCGGGAGCCAGGAGAAGCCCCTTTCAGGTACTAATTTAACATTTGCATTCTGTTATTTTTGTTGTTTTAAATGAGATCAATCTATTGCGAGACAGTGATTTAATATTTAAAATGACAAAGCTGCCATAAGGTGATGATATCAACTAAATGACCAAAACTAAACGCGCTGATTTAGAACAATATGTGATGACTTTGCTCACTTTCTTAATGCTATGCATGCATTACAGAAACCTGATGGGGTAACAGGGTAAGCTGTGGAAAAAGTTAGCTGACAGTGCACAAAATGTGCCTTTTTAATCTTAGCAGTCCAAAATAAGTGTAATTTTAGACTTTTTGTAGTGGTGTTGTACTCAGCTAAATTCTAAGTTTTTTACAGAACACTTGTGGAAACAACGGAAGTTGACCAAATAGAAGACTATGTAGATAAAAGCTAATAACTGCAAACAAAGCAATGACTGTTACCAGCAGCATGTTTTTCTTTTTCAAACTTCTGAGTGCAAAGGAATTACAGATTAATATAAATGCTTTGTGTCAGAAGCAACTGAATTTGTATATACACACACACACATATATATATATATTTATATATATATATATATATATATATA